GGTAGTGCCTATCGCGTGTCCAGCTTGTACTTACGAGAACGCGCCTGAGGACGTGGCGTGCCTTATGTGCGAGACACCTCTCAATGCATGATCATTCGGTAACGGCGGCGATGTTAATTGAGGGGCGTCGGCTGAAACGGTACTTGGGTAAGAGAGCCAGTTTGATGTCCAGGCCCTCCCAAACGGCAGTATTCAGCTACCTTCATTCGCCGGCCTTAAAGTTCAACGCGCGTTCCATAAGTGGATTCCCTCGCTCGCGCGACGCGTACATGAGCCACACGGAGTTGCAGGGTCATGGCAAGTTCGTCTTTCAACCATGGACATGAGGCACTCCCTCCTGTATAAAGCCCACAGGGATGAACAGCGCTCTTGACTTCGGATACCGATCAGCAGCCTATGTCCCACACAGAATGAGCGCAACCACTCTCATCCCCCCGCCGGACAAAGTGTCAAGGCGTATCAAGATCGCACCTACAGGTCGAATGTGCCTTGCCGAGCAAATGGGACTCAGAGCGACCCCAGAAAAGAGAAACTTGTATTATGCCATTTGCGTGCGTGTGCCGCGATACTTCGATGTTTGTACACTTGTGCACTCTTTTTAACCCTCAGTCCATCACAGGAGACGGTCGGCAAACTCTGTGACCGCTACTATCCGTACCAGAAACCTGCGCCTGACCCCCCACAGAGGCAGCTGATGGTCGAGAAGGTATTTCTACAGCACCCCGAGAGGCCTATGTGGAAGCGGAATATTGACCGTTGTCGGGCACAGGCCATCCGGGTGCATCCAATCCTGAAAACATACCAGAACAATTGGCCCCTTGTGCCCATGTATACGATGCACCGCCAGCTACGCAAATCGGGAAACCCCACTGGGATCAGGCAATACGACCAACTTGAAGTGAGATCTGTGAGTAACCATCTGTCCATGAAGGAGAATTCCGATGCTCACACCGTCACGACCAGACCTCCTGTCCGCCGACAGCGGGCAGACCGAGGAGCTTGCGCGACCGTTCATCCCCGCGCAGGAGTGTGATGAGTGGGAGTCGGCTACAAGACAGCAGTGGACGCAAGTTAACGCCCAAGGTGAGCCCCGCCGCGAAGTTTGTGGGGTAGGTAGTTGCTTACGTCGTATGTTCAGACAAGCTCTAGGCGGCGAGTGTCTCCGCGATCCAAGATCACAGTTACACCGACTGTTATTGCCAGCAAGTCTCCGAGCACCACAACACGGAAAGTGGAGAAGCACACCGACTTCGTACAGGAATTCCTTCGGGGCTTGCCGCAAGACCTGCGGTTTCTGTACCCCGTCTTCGTTGGGTACGGTATATGTGACGAGTCCGCGCTTCGCGGCTTGCGCCGTATGCAGGGTTGGCGTTGCTGGCTGTATAGCTGGGTCAGAACTAGGCAGCTTACGGAGTTGCAATTCAAGATGATCAGCGACGGGATAGCGGGGTTGCACGGCATTACCAGCTTCATTTAGTCACATGGAGTAGCGGCAGAACATGGCTCTTTGAGTCGGTGATCGCAGCGTTGAGGTATGTAGGATGAGGACGCCGATGGTCTATACTAGTACAACATAAAATCCACATGTCACGGAGGTAAGATCAGCAGAAACGGTCACTACGAAAAGCAGTCAGCATGAAGCGCAATGTAGAATTCTATGGAGCCGTACCTCTTCAGTTTTGCGCGGCGCTCTAGAAGGGCTTCTGCGAGGCGCCCCTCCTTCCTCGCTTTCTTAAGCTGTGTGAACGAACGTCAGTAGGGAGGCAGTATTCGACAGATTCATCTCACGTACTTCGGTTTTATCCGCTGAGGACACTACCGACCTGCCAGCACCCCAAGCTTGGTACATTTTACTGCAGGCGGGGTCAGTTCGTTTGAGACTCTGACGACAATATACGCACTTTGAGCCGGCTTCATCTACAGAGGATACATCGATCAAGCCCTCCTTCCGCTTCTTCTCTTCGTCGTGTGCCTCTTTCTTGTACTTGCTCTGGACTTTCACCCAGAATCGTTCCCGGAAGCCGACCTCCTCGCTGTCCCCACGAAGAGAGAGCTGTCCACCCGCAACCTCGTCCACACCGAGATACTTCTCGTACACGTTCTGGAATGCGACCATTCCGTCGGGGAATACAACAGGCGTCCACTCCTCTTGCGGACCTCGCGCTTCGCGGTCGGCGGAAACGATGCCATGTTTGTCGCAGGATATGAACTTGCCCTCGCCCACGCCCGTGCGTAGGTTGATGGTGGGCGAACCGGCTACGCGGGTGACAACCCACACCTGCGACACTTCTGCAGGCGTTCGATCCTTGATACTGGGCGACTCTGAGTCATCCGTCTTGTCCTTGTCCACCGAATGGAGGACGATGCGTCCGCGCGTCGAGTCGTAGGTGATAGTGATAGGTGATGGGTCGGAGGGGTGTATGATGAACGCGGGGCCTCGTATTTCGTTCGGGCCTTCGGGGAACACCCAAGTTTCCGGGGCATCCTCCTCTTCCTCCTTGCGGCGACGCCTGGTGCTGGGGCCCTCCTCGCTGTCTTCGTGCTTGCGCTTCTTCTTCGATTTCTCGCCCTTGAACTTGAGCTTGGTGGGTCGTGGTTTCTCGCTCGACATAGTTTATGACCAGTACGACCAGGAGATAGGATAGGGTTATTCAAGCGAGCTCGGACTCCAATGACTGTGAAGCCAGAACAAGAGACTGACGGGGTAAGACTGTGAAGTGGCTGTAACTTGTCGCAGCGATGAAGTCACCGGCGCTTGCTGTAGGCGCGATGGTGTGACACGCTGGTGTTACCCGTGACTTTTCACCGCCCGCACCTGGTTGTGTGAGGGAGGAAAATCCGCCACCGTCACCGCCGACATCCTCAAGACCGTCAAGATGAAGTTCAACGCCGGTCAGTACTGTTTCGCTGCAGGCCGAAATGCTGTTCGTGTGCTCCTGGGAGGTTTCGAGGCGGTTGGAGTGGTGGAATAGGGTGGATGGGACGAAGGCGTTTCGGATGTGGTGTGTACGATCCGTCTAGCATACTAACACACGGTTCTCCTCGGTGCAGACGTCTCCTCCTCCCGCCGCAAGTCGCGCAAGGCGCACTTCGCCGCGCCCTCCTCGGTGAGGCGCAAAATCATGTCCTCCTCGCTCTCCAAGGAGCTCCGCGCCAAGTACAACGTACGTCGTGCCCTTGCTGGTTAACTCTGCAGGAACGGCTCGGTAACACTGCGCAAACAGACGCGGTCAATACCCATTCGCAAGGATGATGAGGTCCGGATCGTACGGGGCAAGTACAAGGGTCGTGAGGGCAAGGTCACCCAGGTGTACCGCAAGAAGTGGGTGATCCACGTCGACCGTGTTCAGCGCGACAAGTCGAACGGCGCCTCCGTCCCCATTGGCATCCACCCCAGCAAGGTTGTCGTTACCACCCTGAAGCTCGACAACGACAGGTGTGACATCTGCTATAGTGTGCATTGCCAGTTGCTCACAAATGGCTGGAACTTATAGGCGGGCAATCCTTGAGCGCAAGGACAAGAAGAAGAGCACGAAGACGGGCGAGGACGTCGAGATGGTCGACGTACGTATGAATGTTCCTCCCGAATGCTTAACTTCGCTGATCGCGACCCGCAGTAATCTCATCGGCTCCCCTTGTGCTTTGCTCTTCCTGGCTTTCCTACGTCCCCTGCAAAATCATGCATGTATGTATACAGCTACGCACATGTTTATGCCACATGGGCCTCAGGCCGCCCTGTCACACTTGGAACGACGGGCATACTCGCAGAAAACTGGGGTTATCGCGGCGGCTCGCAGAGTCGCGCATTTGTATTGTACACGAAGATGGGTATCGCATTCGATGGCATGATATGAAAAACAGGATGAGTGTCCGTGGCGGCAACATAGCGAACATTGTCAGAAGATGACATCCTCGTCTTTACTTCCCAGCAAGTCCCCTCCGCCGCCTGCGATAATCGGGTCGGCTTCGTGTACTTTGGCGGCCTCTTGCTCCAGCTTTTTCCTGAGAGCCTCGGACGCTTCCGCGTCCCTCTTCTTCTTGCCCTGGACCTTCTTTAGCCTGTCAACAGTGAGTATTTCGCGGGCTGAGCAAAAAGATGAGGAACACACCGGAAAAACTCCTCTCGATCCATCTCATCAAGCTCGCTTGTGATGTACTTGATGGTGTTCTCCAAACGTGGGATGATAACGTGCTCAATGGCATTCACGCGGCGGTTGGTTGCGCGGATGACTTCATCGAGGATCATAAAGGCGGTCTGCAGAGATGCAAGGTCGACCAACGTCTCAACCGCCTTCGCGTATACTTCCTTGGCACGAAGGACCTGCTGCCCACCCCGACCCAGACCGGTCAGATTGAAGTCTAGCGCAAAGTTCCGTGAACAAGTGCAATCGAGAGAAAACAACAGATCCTGATAGCCCACCTGAGCCCGGTACCCGGTCGACTTCGAACGCAGGCAGAACGACCCCAGACACGTTCTCCTGCTTCGCCTTGACCTTGAACGACGCCGACTTCGCCTGCTCCTGGACGAGGTACGAGATGTCGCCGGTCGCGTACGTGACCTCCGCGAGCGAGAACGACGCGAGCTGCATCACGCGGCCCATCTTCCGCTTTGCCTGAGGACGCAACACAACGTCTCAGAACGACATAGTGGCTGCACATCTCGGGAGCAGGGCGCACCTCGTCGACTCTGCGGAGGATCGCCCTGAAGCGGGTGGTAAGGGCGTCCCGCTTCTTCGCGAGCAGAGAGTGGCCCGTTTGGGCGCCCTTGAGGCGGAGCTTGGTATTTGTGAGGGCCATCCGCGTGGGGAAGATGTTCTCCCTGGGTCCTGTTCCCGACATGGTAGCTAGGCGGTACGGTAGGATGTATGTGGTGGACGGAGGAGAGGGTAGCGCTCGGCAAAGACAGGATTAGCAGCAGACGTCAGTAAGTACCACTCCGATGATCCTGGTCGCCCATATACTGCATATGTCCATATATACTACGTGCATTTTACATTCAAGCCGGGATAGCTCAGCTGGGAGAGCAACAGACTGAAGCATACAGGGCTGTCTTCTGGAGGTCGCGTGTTCAATCCACGCTCCTGGCATTTTTGCAGTCTTTATTTCATTTTGTTGGAAATAAAACTTACCGTGATATCAATTATTGCTGTAAGACATCCGAGAACGTGAGGTTTCTTTTATAATTATAAGGGATCTATATCATCGATGATGGTGTAAAACAGTACAAGGTCGTACTGCGATGCAGTAGCGTTCGATATGATATATACAGACGTACGGCCTGAAGGCCTGGCTCGGAACTCTCAGGCAATGGTATATTTCCCATAGTTCTTGTCCGGATCGTACACCTGTTGACGGGAGGCTACAGTGAGCGGGAAGTTTTACGCGCGGATGAGTAGAGAGCGTACCTCCCAACGTGATGCCGGGAATATGTGCTTGTTCCGCTGGTACCAACTTCGTTCAACGACCTTCCCGGCGTGGGACTCGTCCTTTTCGACGGTGGCGTCCGCCAGGAGACGGATATCGTCGTGGACGTCAAAGTTGAACAGCGGCCCCGACTTCCCGCGAGCCTTGTTGACGATGAAGTCGTAGAACGTGTGGTGCTACGTAAAAGCATCAGTATGGTCCCTGCCATGCGGGAGGCTGGTTAAGCATACATGAGGGATGATGAGGTCCTCCTGGAAACGAGGGTCAGCGTACGTACAGCGCTTGAGGGAGACGACTTCCATACCTTCACATACATGAGGTTGTCGACGCTGATGCCGCGCATTTCCGGGAACTGCTGTCGACATTTCTCGAGGAACGTAGAGATGGAGTCTCCCTTCTTGCACTATGTGACGAGGACCGGCGTTCCACGTGCGTGTATCTAGGTGGTCAGGCCCGCCATGCGCTGATAGACTCGGGTCAGGCTCACCATGACGCTCTTGCGGTGGCCGCTGCCGTCCCAGTACGAGTACGTGATCTCGACGTCCTCGTTCTTGAGCTCCTCCTGCTTCCGCAGCCACTCCTGGCGCAGCGATTCACGCTCGCGGCGTTCTTCTTCCTCGCGCTCCCGATCGGGCAGGAACGAGGTGTCCACCTCGGGGTTCTTGCGCGACTTCGCCTTCTTCGACAGCGGCTCGTCCATATCGCCGCTCCGCCGCGCCGCGGGCGCGCCCTCCTCGCCCTCCTCGTCGTCGAGCGCGAACGACAGCGTCGCCTTGTTCGTTTTCTTGCGCTTCTTCACCCTTTTCTCCTCTCTAAACGGATTCTCCACGCAAAGTAAGCGTTCCGGCCGGGCGCACGCGACCCACAGCACAAAGAGACGCGGTGACATACTTGAGCTCGCTCGTGCGCGCCGCCTCGCGCGCCTTCGCCTCCTCGAGCTCCTTCCGGCGCTGCTGGAAGTCCTCGAGCCGGACGAGGCCGACGGTGCTGTTCTTGAGCGTGTCCTCCATGGAGTCATTCTGGCCGACGAAGCGGTTCGCGGAGGGGCGGGCCTTCTCCGTCTCCTGGATGAGCGTCTGCTTCTGCCGCTCGAACTCCTCGCGCATCTGGTTGCGCTGCTTGGCGAGCGCCTGCTCGCGCTGGCCCTCCGGCTTGCTGGTGGACATGGTGGGCGTCGAGGGACAAGGACCGGGATGTGTTAGGCGCGCGTGACACCCGGAAAGGAATGGTAGCGTGGGCGCCTATGAGCGTGCTGCTCCTTCGCCGTTTCTGCGACCGTCTCTTCGATCCTCCTCCTCACTCCGACTGTTCGAACTCCGGGCTGGCTCGCCCCCTCCACCATGCACATCCTCGGCGTCACTCTCCCTGAAAACCAGCTCGTCAAGGTACGGCTCGTCGCCCCTCCGTGCCTCGTGTGCCCCCATACAAACGCTAGCTCACACATGTGGGCCCGCTGCAGCACGCCCTGACGCACTTCTACGGGATCGGGGCGAAGACGTCGCTCCGGCTCTGCGCCCGCGTGCAGATCCACGACCGCTGTCGGATCCGGCACCTGAACCAGACGCAGGTCACCGCGCTCACCGCCTTCCTCTCCTCGCCCACGAACTCGCCCCCCGTCGCCGTGCAGCCGCTCGCCGCGCCGCACCCCGCCCTCGCCCCGCCCGCCCAGTCTGCGCCCGCACAAGCTGCAGCAGCGCAGGCCGCGCCCGTGGACCGCCTGCGGGAGCTGAGGATCGAGTCCGAGCTGCGCAGGCAGATGCGGGAGAACATCGCGCACCAGCGCATGATCGGCAGCTACGTCGGGCGGCGGCACGCGATGCACCTGCCCGTGCGCGGGCAGAACACGCAGAGCAACGCGCGCACCGCGCGGAAGCTCAACCGCGTCGAACGATACAACTGAGCATTCAGCATTCAGTGCCCGGTGCGTGCGGGGGGCCCAGGCGGGTCGGCGGAGAAGGCACCTGGCGCACCCGTGGCCGCTTCTGCGTCTCTCTCGGTGAGTGGGCAGGGCTCGCCGTGGGGGTTCTGCCGTCTTCCGTGCTGATCGTCGCCGCTCTGTGCGTAGATTTGCGTGCCCGTTTGGGCGGCGCACGGCTGCGCTGCGACCCTTCGCTGCGTTGTGTGTTATTCCGGGGCGTCTCGCGTGGTCCCCGCACGGCGTGCGGGAGCAGTGGGTGGTGGTGCTACATACGTACGGCGGCGCGCAGAAAACTATTGTACATCCATACTAGTGGTCCGGTATATCTAGTCGTCGCCCACGGGCACCTCCTCCTCCAGGTACTTCACGAGCGTCACGCGGATCTCCGTCGTCTCGTCGCCGCGCAGCACGTCCGAGGTGAATGCGGCCTGCACCTGCATCTGGACCTACATGATGTGGCAGGTGGCAGGAAACGTCAGTCCCAGCGATCGTGGGATCGGCGGGGCGCACGCACCATCTCCAGCGCGCCGCGGAGGACGCCGCAGAGGACGTTGCTGAACCAGAGGCCGCCCTCGAGCGCCTCCTCGGGCAGCTCGACGAACTCGGCGAGCGGGTTCTCGTCCAGCTGCAGCGTGAACGTCGAGCCCGGGGCGTTGACCTGCGGCGGCGGCATGCTCGTGCGCGTCGGCGAGGACGCAATCGGCTGCGCGCCGTGCGTCACCGTCGGCGTGATATTGAGGAACGACTTGAACCCGACCTGTCCCCCCACCACTCAGCCCCCAAACAGCGGCGGCGGCAACTGCTCTCGCGAGCACACGACGCACCTTTGCGACGACCTCGCCGACGTCGCGGAAGTCCGCGCAGCGGCCGAGCGTGCTGCGGGCGAGGAAGTCCTCAACGAGGCGCGTGCCGATGTTGTAGCCCATCTTCTCGAGCTGCTTGTTCACCTCGCCGTAGTCCTCGTAGTCCTGGATGAGCTGCACGACGAGCGCGCCGTACGTGAGCGCGAACAGCTCTGCGTTCTGCGCCCCTGGGCGTGTCAGCACGGCCGTTCCCCCTGCGCGTCCGGACGCGGACGCGGACGCGGGACGCTTACGATTTTCTCGGTGCGGCCCTTCCACAGCTCCTCCCCGACGGCCTTGTACTGCTTGTTCGCGGACGCCATGCTGTCTGGCCCTGGATGCCCACTATAGCGCGATCGATTCCGGTCCGAGTTGTCTGGGATCGCGATATACAAGTACAGCGAGGCGCGGCGTCACGGTGGTGGTGTGCAATTAGGAGCGGAGCGCCTGCCCGTGCTGCAACACCGGTAGACGCCCCAGCCACAATGTTGGGCGCTAACCTGTCTGGGGAAGCAGAGGACCAGGTGTGCGGCGGCAGCATCCGCCACACACGACGGTCCCGAGCGGGACGCGACGACGGAGCAGGGCCGCACGGGCGTGGAGTGCGCATCGTGGCTTATGAATATATGCGGGACAGCTGCGAATGCAGGCTCAATTTGAAATGCTCATTCATAGGACACGACGTCGGAGGCAAGCGTGGCTGAAGGCAATCGCGAGCCTCTGCGGAGCTAAATACGCGCACGTCGGCGCGTGGGAGCGCTGGGAGATTCGCCGCGGCGAAGGGAAGGGTTCGGGCTGGGATGCACACCGACGCGCGAAGGCAGACGGACACGTTCCTCGCTAAGAGACGATAGAGCGGGCGGAACGGTGCAGGCAGCGAGGACGGCGGCTGTGGGCAGGGTTCCCACAGGTGATCCACGCGGAAGGCGGACGTCAGGCGTGATGGCGAAAACGTCGGGCGGAGGAATGGATTGCGAAGTCCCACAGAGATCCGGCAATAGACGGAGAGCGGGTGGTTCAGGCAGGACGGGCAGGGAGAAGGCGGACGAATGGGAACCGGGAAGGGCAGAAGGCGGCCACGGCTGTGGGAGGACGGAGGGAGGCGAGCGGAAGATCCTCGCGAGCTATAGCGAGGGCTAAACGGGATGCAGCTGACGAGAAGGAAGAGGGAGGGCGGATCGAGGCGTTCGCGGAGGGGCAGATGACCGTGCGGATAGGTATCACGGCAGATCAGGCGCAGGGGCAGCGGGATGGACGGTGCAGACGATCAGACAGATTCAGTAGGCTTGATGGTTGCGGATATGGGACAGACGTGCAGCAGAGTCCGTCCGGCGCAGAGCGAGATAGTGCTTCGTGGAAGCCGCCCGGCGCAGGGCGGTAGGGCGACGCGGGGTGCGCTCGCAGCCAACTCTGATTATGATTGCGGCTCTCATCTTACGGCAGAGCGACGGGCTGGGGAGCGACATTGCCTGGTCCAACTCACTCGTGACTGGCCAGACGGTCTCGGAGGCGGGGGCCAGGCCGAGGCAAAAGTTAAAGTTGCGAAAATAAAATTGCCGGAAGGAGACGGGAGCGAGGGAAAGGGCGGGTCTGATGGGGGGCGCAGGCGATATTCACGAGCGTCGGGGGAGGATGCAGCAAGTGATGAGGAGGAGGATGGCGATAGGATGGATGATTGATGGCGGAGGTGTGGCATAAGACGGTGACAGAGACGGATCGGATTCGGGAGGAGATGTTGTGCGTTGTTTGCTGCGCACTGCGTCTCAGCGGGCGTCTGTGTGAAGCGAATGCAGCGAGCGTGAAGCTTCACTCGCGTCTGCGCCTCCGTCTCTTCTGGCATCCATCCTGCCCCTGCTGTCCTCCCCTCCACCAGCGCCCGCACACACCTCCCGTGCTCTAGACC